CCCCACCTGCTCTGTGACACCCCCACCAGCTCTGTGACACCCCACCTCTGTGACACCCCCACCAGCTCTGTGACACCCCACCTGCTCTGTGACACCCCACCAGCTCTGTGACACCCCACCTACTCTGTGACACCCCCACCTACTCTGTGACACCCCACCTGCTCTGTGACACCCCACCTACTCTGTGACACCCCCACCTGCTCTGTGACACCCCACCTGCTCTGTGACACCCCCCCACCAACCCCCAAACCCAATCCTGAGCCTCCGGCCTTCTTGAGCCTGGGGACCCCTGTCCCTCCTGTGCACCTGTGTCCAAGCCGTCCTGGGCACCCTCACCCGGTGCATAGCACCACCTCCCGCCACACACACAGCCCTGGCTCCAGCCCTCACTCCCTCCTGTCCCCTCCCACGTCCCTGGTGTCCTCCTCTCCCTGGGCCTCCCTGGATGCCCAGCCTCCTCGTGTGATGTGTCCTTGTCCTTCCCCTGCTCACACTGCCCGCTGTCTCCGAAACAGGAGGATCTGTGACCCCCCTGCACCCTTGGCCCTGACCCGCCCCCGCCCACCTGCCAGTCTGGCTTTGCTTTGGTCCCTCCCAACCCCTCCTCTACCCAGCCACGCCCCCTAGCGCCCATCCAAGTGCCCCCTCCGCCGGGCTCGCCCCAGTCACTGCCATCTCCAGGGCCAGCAGGGGCGGCCCTGCCCCTCTGTTCCCTCTGCCGCCCAAGCCCGGCCAGGCCTGGAACCTGGGAACACTAGCCCTCTCTCTCCCCTCCCCACTCCCCCTCCAGGTCTCTCCTGTCCTCATAGGTCCAGACCTAGCAGGAGGCCTGCGCGGTCAGGTCGGCTCACACCGTGGGCGCAGCAGAGCCCCAGGACTGGACACCGGGACAGAGCTGCTCTCCCCACCCCCTTGGCCACCCACCACGGGGCCTGGAACAGAGACCCTGGGCAGCTGGCCCCACTCGGCCGCCACACACGCAGGTCCAGGGTAGGGGCACACAGTTGGACGTCATGCCTTGGACACACAGAGGCAGGGGACAGAACACGGACGGGCAGGGCCGCGGACAGAGACGCGCAGGCACCACGCACGTGAGGGCCACACACAGCCTCAGTCGTGGAGGACGAGGGTGCAGTGGGCGATGGGAGTGGGGGACACATTGGGGGGCGTCCCCAGGAGCGAGCAGCGGCTAGTCTGGGGTCAGACACCTCCGGAGGACAAGGCCAGCCCCCAGGCCCGGGGTGGGGATGGGGTGCTTCCACAGACGTCAGGGGATGGGGGGCTTCTGGAGAAGATGGACCGAGGGGGCCACCAGGTCTGGGAGGAGCCTGTCGGGCTCTGAAGCAGGGTCCCCCCAACTGCCCGGCAGCCTGGAGCCCCAGGGGTCCAGGGCCAGCAGACGGGGGAGGATATGCTGCTCCCACCACCACCCTCTGCTGAGCGAAGCCCGTGGGGCCCGTGGCCAACGGTGAAAGGCAGGCACTGCTGGGGCGGAGATGCCGAGGGGTCAGGACCCTCCCGCCGCCGCAGCCTGGCCCTACACTGCCCAGCACAGCACCCTCTTCTCTCCTGGGAGCGGAGGGGTTACCTTCCTAACACGGTTCCCACGCCGTGGCGTTCCCACGGGCGCCACGGGAGGCGCAGCACGGTACCACCACTCCGAGGGGAAGCACAGGGCCTACAAAGGGGCCTGGCCCCAGGCACAGGGGCCCTCGTGGAGCAGTGCAGCGCCCCCGTCTGGGCACGGGGCCCCAGACTGAAAGTGCAGCAGGAAGACAGCCGTGCGGGGCAGACACGGTCAGTGGGGCCACACGGATGGACCGCAGGCCCCCTCTGCCCAGGGCCTCACGTCTCCCTCTCGGGGCGGGGGGCGGATGCAGAGAGGGAGACCCCAAGCCCAGAGCTGCCTTCCAGGACCGGGGGCCGCTGGCTGGGGTGCCCCCGAGCTGGGATGGCTGATGCCCCATCTCCACCACCTCTGCACTGGGAGTAAGTGGGGCCCGTGGGGCGAGACCCCAGCCACTGAGACAAGGCAGGAAGCAGACAAGGAACGGAGGACACCTGGACAGACAGACCAGCACGAGAAAGCAGCTGGTGGGGAGGGGCGGTCGGGAGAGGGAACCGGGGAGCGAGGAGGGCACATGTGGCTCCAGGCGGGGCCACAGGCTGGGCAGGGTGGGCTCGGGGGGGCCCCGGAACAGTCCCCAACAGAACAGAACCACACCACACGCTTTCCGCCCATGCAGTCCTACCTGGAGGCCCCGTAGGTTTGAGTTTGCGAGCTTTTTCAAGTGTTTTCACACACACACAAAGGGAAAGGAATGAAAGATTTTAAAAGAACGGGATAAGAAAAAGAAAATGAAAAAAAAATAGTCCAGGAAAGTGGGGGAAACAACAGAACAAAGAAAATTAGCACGAGGGTCAGTCCTGCCTCGGCCGGAGGGCTGAGAGCACAGTGCCTGCAGCGGTTCCAGGAAGCGGGTGGCGCCAGGCCCCCACCATCCCGAAGCTGAGGGTCCCCGAAAGTGCCCGTAGGACGGTGCTGGAGGAGGGAGCGGGCAGATCCCGAGAGAGGCGGGTGGCAGGTAGGGACCCGCAGGAGGACCCTGCCCCAGGGGGAGGGCTCCGTGGGTGGACACCCCCAGGGGCAGGTAAGGGGACTCCCCGGGTTGAGAGGCCCCAGGGCTCAGCGTCAGCCCTGAGGTGGGAGGGCGGGCTGGCAGGGCAGCGCCCAGCCCGGGGGCACCTGACCTGCATGGACGCTGGCCAGCCCTCGCCCTTCTCACCTCAGACCTTGTTCTAAGCCGCAGCCTGGCACAGACAAACCCCGGGGGGCACAAGCCGTGCCTGGAAAGCCGCCTGCTGACCACGCAGGCCCCCAGGGAGGCCTCCCCGGCCCCCTCATCTCCCCCTCAGGGCGCCTGGGGGTGTCTGTGCTCTGCCCTGTGGGGACCTCGCTGTGGGGTCTGGGGTGCTCTCCTTACTTGGGCAGAGACTCTTGCCCTCACTGGGGGTCAGAGGGTCAAGGTTATCCTTTTGTTTCTAAACACGGGGCCCCCTGGAGGGGCTGCGGTCCCCGGAACCAGCTAGCATTTACCTCCGCAAGCTCTGGGGGGCTGTCGTCACAAGGTTTACACACTATGCACCTGACAGCAAGGACACTAAGCAGGGGGCGGAATGAAGGTGAAAAATAAAAGCCGCAAACTAGAAAACAGAACAAAATTAATCAAATAATCACACACGATTCCTTTTTGAAAAGTACATACATTTTAAAGAAAAAGAAACAAAAAATAACCAAAATGATGAACAACAACCGAAAAATGGGGTTTAAGAACAAAGGGGGCTGCACACAGGCAGTGCTGGGGAGGTGGGGGAGGTACCTGTACATGGGGACGGTCACCGTGCGCTCATAGTACTGCCACGTGGAGTGCAGGTCCGTGCGTGACAGGTTGGTGGCGTAGAACCTCCAGGCGGACTGCGGGGAGGACAGGACGTCAGCTGGGCACTAAGGGGTCCCACCGGCCTCTCCCAGGGCCTCGCCCCTGCGCATCCCCGTGCACGGGGCTCTGGACTGAGGCCCCGTGCTGCTCCCACCCCGTCAGGCCTCAGTAGCCTCTGCAGAATGGAGACGCGGCGGGGTGCGGGGCACAGGTCAAGCACCCGGCGAGGCTGCAGGGAGCTTCGGTTCTTTCCTTCCATCTGCCCTACCTGACGCTTGGAAGCCGTCACCCGGCATCGTGGTCACCTTCCTTCCCTCCCCGCCCCCTCCTGCCCCCAGCCTGCCCCCCCCCAATCTGCATCAGTCCCTGTGGGTTTCCCCACTGCAGACACTTGGTAGCGATGGAACCGTAGCGCGTGGCCTCCTGTGTCTGGCCTCCTTCCTTTAGCACGTTCTCGAGGCCCATCCCTGCTGGAGCCTGCATCCGAGCCTCGTTCTTTCTAAGGCTGAACAACATTCGGGCGTACGGATGGACCACATCTGTGTATCTTTCACCCAGCAAGGGACGTCTGAGCTGTCCCCACCTTTCAGCTCCTGTGAATAGTGCTGCTACGAACACCTGTGTGAAGCTTTATGGCCGAACATCTGTTTTCAGCTCTGTTGGGTGTACACCTAGGAGTGGGATTCCCGGGTCATGTGATATGTTTAACACTTTGAGGAACCACCAAACTTTTCTACAGTGGCTGCACCATTTCACATCCCCCCAGCAATGT